AATAATAATAATAATAATAATAATAATAATAATAATAATAATAATAATAATAATAAATAATTACCCATTCTTTGGAGGTGGTTTAATCCCTTCCCATGCATTTGTAAACATTAAATTACTAAGTGAGAAAGTGATGTATCTCAATTCAGGAATAGTATGAAAATTCACAACATAAAATGTCATGCTGGAGTGGTAATGATTTAGTTTGATACTCTACTACAACAGAGTTATGTTTTCCTAACTAAAGATTTCTAGCTTGCTTTGAAATTATTGTGCATTTTCACTGTTGAATAATTCACTTCTATGAACTCTGTTGTGCCAATTCTGTTAATGGGTCACAAATGGAGAAATGGGACTTTGGTTGCAATTCCCTATTCATGAAATTCTCTCATTCAGCTAAACAATAGGCTTCTGAATTTGTTACTTTTTTTGTTGGCTATACAAAAACTTATCTCTCTTTTAAGCATTTTAGTTTTTTTTATTCTGCCTTTTTATTGATAATATTGTAGTATGTTTTAATTGTTTTGGATCCAGACTTTGTCATATTTAGTGTTGATTGAAATCAGTCATCTTTCAGTAGCTTAACACCCAATTCCTCCTGCCCCAATATCTCACCAGCATGTCATTTTTAATGCTCCAAATGGCGAAGATTATTAACTACATTGATTGGCTGATTATGTGCCATCATGTTGGTGTTGATTTCTAGAGACCACGTAGATATATTTTCTCCATAACGATCCGTTCCTAAGATAGGTCTTCCAATGGTGCACCTATCACTACTGTAACTAAGCCTGTCCACCTTGCTGCCGGTCATCCTTTTCTTCTTTTTCCTTCCACCTTTCCCAGTGTTATAGATTTCTCAAGAGAGCCAGGTCTTTGCATAATGTGTCCAAAATATGATAATTTGAGCCTGATCCTTTGTGACTTGAGTAAGAATTCTTGACTAATTTGTTCTATGACACATTTATTTGTTTCTCAGATATTCACTGTATTCTAAAGGATCAATATTCTTCCTATCCTGCTTCTTCAAAGTTCAGCGTTCACTTCTATACAGTGTCAAAGAGAACACCACTGCTTGTACTATTCTGATCTTTATAGCATCTGAAGACACATTACAGCATCTGAATATCTTTCCAATGCCTTCATGTCTGCTCTTCCTAGTGCTAGTCTGTGGCATACTTTTGGACTGCTTCTTCCTTTACTATTGGTGGTTGATCCTAAAAGGCAGCAGCTATCTATCACACTGATATCTTCATTGTCAGTTCTAAGGCTGTTTGTTGTGCCTGTTGTCATTAGTTTGGCTTCCTTTATATTTAATTTTAGTCCCATTATTTCACTATGTTCTTTTTATTATTTAGTCCCATTATTTCACTATGTTCTTTTATTAGTAGAACTTACAGATCCCTTGCTTTTTCAGCTATTAAAATAGTGTATCAGCATAGCACAGGTTATTGGTGTTTTTTCCTCCAATTTTAAAGCCACACTCATCTTCTTTCAATCCAACCTTCTTCTTTCCCTTAATATATAATATATTCAGCATATAGGCTGAATAAATAAGAGGAGCATATGCATCCTTGTCAAGTCTGTTTCCCCATGTTCTGTCCATACTGTGGCTTCTTGACCTGTATCAAAGTTTCAGCTCTCTGAAACTGTTAAGTTCCTTCCTGAGATTTTTGTCTTTCTTGACATTGGCTTCTCTTCTCTTCCTGGCAATTTCTTCATTTTGTTCTGACATCCGGTTTGCTTTCTTTTGTTTCTTCATCTTTGGCACTCTCTTTTCACATTCATCTCTAACAAAATATTTAAGTTCATTCCACAATTCCTCTAGTTCTCTATCAATGATGTTCAGGACTTCAAAGTGATTCCTGTGGTTTTCCTTGAAAATAGTAGCTATATGCTCAAGATCATATCATGGAAACTGGTTGGCTTTTTTCTTCTTTAACTCAACTTGGAATTTGCACATGAGCAGTTCATGATCTGTTCCCCAGCCAACATCTGGTCATGTTTTTGACGCTGTAACTGAGCTCCTCCACCTCATTTTTAGCAATAATAGGGTCAATTTGAGTTCCCCATCTGGTGACATTGATATACAGTGGCATCATTTTGGTTGTTTGAAGACAGTGTTAGAGTAGCAGAAATTGATAAGTTGGTCTCTTGCTTCACTTTGGTTTCCTAAGCCATACAGTCCAACTACATTTTCTTCCTTAATGTTTCAAATTTTGACATTCTGGTCTGTAATCACAAGCAGCATATCTTGCTTGCATGTTCTGTTGATTTCAATTTGACATAAAACTCATCAACCTCCTCTTCTTCTGGATTGGTGGTTGGAACATAAATCTGAATGATTGTCATATTAAAGGGTTGTCCATGAAGTTCAGCCATGTATGCATTGTAGCCAAGTACTGTTATTGCTATATACTTCCTAACTAGTAAAGCACTCCATTCCTTCTTTGTTTTTCATGTCCTGAGTAATGAACAGTATGGTCTTTTAACTGAAAGCATCCAATCCCAGTCCATCTCAATTCACTGATGCCTAAGATATTAATCTGTAGTCATTTCATTTCATCTTTCTCTATATTGAGGTTTCCTGTGTTCATGATTCTACATTCCATGTTCTCACTGTAATTCTGTCCTTGTAGCTTTGGATTTCTTTTGCTGTATGGAAACATCAGCAGCTAGACATCCCAAAGGCTTTAATCTAGCCATGTCATAACCACCGTTAGTACTTCAAAAGATCCTCAGCTCTTCCTCAGTAGCATGTTGAGTGCCTTCTGACCTGAGGGGCCCATCATCTGGCACTATATCAATCATTTTATATTTTCTACCCAGCCAGTATGAATTAATGTCTTTGCCATTGTCAGTAAAGCAATGTCCAATCCTTCTTCTGCCCAGTTCTTATTTTTGCACTGCCTAGGTTTTGGAACACAGACTTCAGCATTACATTGTCTTTTTTCTGTAGATCACAGGAGTTTCAGCAGTTTGGTTTCCATATCAAATGCAGATTGAGCTAGAACATTGAACTCTCATTTCAGAACTGAAGCAAATACAGTTTTCGTGTGTGGTGTCCAGCTATTTCTATCTCTCCTTTTCTTTTCTTTCCCTCCCCTGCAATTTCATGCTTTACTGATGTATGAATCTCTCTTGGTAGAATGTTTTGTATTATTTCTGGTTTTGATTTTCTGCAAGCTGCCTCCTAGGATCACTTGGTGTGGCTGTATATGTTGTTTAAATAAAATAAATGAAATAGAATACATAACAAGCAGTCTTCATATGCAAAACAGACTATTCAAAGGCCAAGCAAGGAGCTTAGCCTGAAAAAGTTGATTCAGTTCTAGTAAAATAGCAAGATGATCTTCCATATCCCAGGAAAGCTGCATTTTAAATATCAGGTTCTGTAGATGTTCCCAGATTGGTTTTAGTGCAAGTGTGCAAGTTCTGTTGGCTAACAGGCTATACCTTTTGTGTTAAATGTTAAAAGCCACAGTCCAAAGTGGGTATGGCCAGATCTTCCTCAAGGAGGAAATGTCAGGAATGTTGA